GCCATGATATGAGAACTAATGGTTCTTAAATCGGGGCTAGGACTTAGTGCAAGGCCCAAACCCATTCCTGGATTTTGGGAGTTTTTGTTTTGTTTTTTAATCTGTCTTTAGCTCCCTCTAGAGACCTCCTTGTTAATTTATGGTAGAGAGTCTTGTTGATTATCTCCCTGGGCAAAAAATATTTTCCATTAATATTATTATTGATTAGCCTCTGGTACTAATTTTTACAGCGCTTTTAAGAGAGGATATTGGGCCAATATAGACTAATTCCATATCGTAAAACCAGAATTGTCCACTTGTACAGAAGCAATCCTTTCATGGCTAGATGCCATTTACACAGGCAATGGGAATTGTTTGTCAGGGAAAATTCACAATAATATTCACTGAGAATATCAGTGATGGGTTTGCCAGAATAATATATATCTTAATAAAGCATGTGGGGCATTGATGTAGGAAGTCAATGATGTTTTGCCCATGGATAGTTCAATAATCTTGGTATGGCTGTCTTCTGCTTCTTCAAACACCATGAATTTTCAGTCTGAAGTCCTCAGGGTACCGGTGTGCTTGAGGGAGAGGGGAGTTTCTGCATCAGATCTCATGGATGTAGCCTTTGGAGCATGTTGTATGCCTTGACGAGCCAGGATTTAATGCCAAGTGTTCTATGGCACTTGGCCTGCATCCCCGGGATGTGCCCAGAAACTCGGGCCAATGTGGTGTATTTCGTGCCTGTTACCAGGACTCTGCTTTCTTCATCTAAGGATTAGTGTTCATAATTTTGAAAAGTATTATCCATTGACTCTTCAAATATTTCTTCTCTTTCATTCTCTCTGTGCTTTTGTTTAAGAACTCTGATTAGATGTATATTTAGCCTATTTACGTCGGCAAACTTCTTGTGTTCTTTTAATTTTATTTTTTTTTGCTTTCTTAGGCTTAGTTCGCATTGCTTCTTCAGACACAGTTTCCAGTTAATTACTTAACCTTTTAACTTTATTTAATTCAACTGTGATGTTTATACTCTTTCCAATAGGCTCTATATGATTTGGAATTGGGTTGATAGCATCAGATTTTGGAATTATGCATTGAAACTTAAAATTTCAAACATAAATGTTTTCTGGCACTTTTATTTTTCAAGTTAATTGTTTTTAGAAAATGTATGGAATTCCTAGATTAAGATGGAAAGGATCAATAAAATTTTCCCTTCAAAGCAGGGGATATATTTATATAAATATATATGTAAATATATATAATTGAACATATATATATATAAACAATTGAGTTTTTAAACTCAAAACCAACCCATACCCACTGGTATTGAGTCAATTCAGACTCAGAGTGGTCCCATATAGGCTTTCCAAGACTGCAAATCTGTGTGTTAGATTGTAGTAAATAAAACATCAGCTTCTACTTACTGAGCACTTGCTCTGTGTCAGGGCTAATTTCTTTTAAGTGTTTTCACCTAGACCTCAGCACAACACTGCACTACCTATAACTATCTGCATTTTTCATAGATATAATTAGGACCATGGTTAAATAACACACATTCATTTTATAGCTTCAGGAGCAAAACCGGAATGTATAAGTAAAATCTGAGTACTTTTGATCATGTAAGACCTGTACCCAGTGAACATCTGATTCCCTGGAGTGGCTAGAAATACGGTTGTTTTTCAAGATAATTTGGTAATGGAAAAATGAAATTATCTTAAATTAATTATTATTCAATTGGATAACCCACACAGCTCTGTTCTGATTGTGAATCAGTTGCTAGACTTCTTGACACCAGGAATGTTAAAGACTACTGCTATTTTGTCAAGACTGAGACTAAGTTAACCACGCTCCTCATCCTAACCTAATGCTGACAAATGATTTAACAAGAACAGGAAAAATCAAGGAACAAAACATTAATTAGCATTCACTCTAAAAGTGTTCCTTTACATTTCTCCATAGGTGGGATTTATGAGCCTCATACATATTTGTTTATTTTTTAATTTAATAATTTCCCCACTTCAAAATAACTTAATTTATTATAAGATCATATGGTCTTTTCCTGAAATTCAAAATGATAATATCCTATAATTAATCTGTTATATGCTTGAAAGAGCTTTATTCTCTATACCAGAGACATTGTGAAAATTATATTCAATTTCTCCTGTTACGGGATATACAAGTTTTAAAAAAATTTCTAACCAGAGAATAACCAAAATTTTCAATTGTCCCCCAAGTTTCATTTTTTAAAAGCTGTTGTAACCAAAGATCAAGTTTATGATAGCTTCCATTATTCCATATGAAACTGATTTTTCAGCAAATATCAGGTCAGTTCCTTTGTAAACCTCTTTGTTTAGTTTGATATTTTCTTTGGGAATTTTAAAAACATGTTCTCTGTGCCCTGTGTTTGATTCAGTTGTAAGGTAAATCTATGACTTGAGTGGATTCTATGAGTATTTCTGGCAAAAATGCTTCAGTGGCAATGTATATAGTTTATTATATTACTCTCATCAAGAGGCACTCAGGTCTGGTGGCCTCACTGTGTCGTTTGTGCTGCTAATTGCTGTTGGGTTGATACCAGCTCGTCGGGTTGGTGTTTGCAGAGTTGAACTGTATTTCACGGGGTTTTCAAAGCTATGTCTTTTCTGGAAGCAGATTGCCTAGCCTAACTTCCAAGACCCTCTTGAAGCATTTGAACCCTGACCTTTCGTTAGTAATTGAGTACTTAACCATTTGCACCACTCAAAGACTCCTTACTGTGAATGGTTTTACATTTCATCACTGGCGACAGTCTCACTTCGTCATTTCAGAGTAGCATTTTCCCTCTTGCAACTCTCTGTGGAGTGATATTTGGGCATGACGACATTTACTTTCTCATTGTAAAAAGGTGAAATTAAGCCTCTGACTTCACACGATGGGAGTTCAAGGTTGATTTCTATGAATGGAGACCAGACATGACTCCCAAACTTTCTTGCCATTTCGAATCCCAACAATCTCTTCCATAGCATTCTCTGCTTCTCTACTAGATTCAATGATTCATTTAAATAACCACACAGAACTCACATCCCTTCCCCAAGATGATAAGGTTTATCAGGGAAGTTTAGAGATTACAGTTCAGGGTCAGAAATACTTAGGATACAATTCTTTGGTCAGGACAGCCCCTTTTCAGCCAGGCCAGTAGGCATGCTCTCTCTTATCCCCCATCTCTCCACCATGGGACCAGTTGTTCTCTTCCCCACACTGGCAGCAGTACAAAGCTCTTTCAGTACTTCAGGTAAATGTCTAAAGGCATGCCACTACACCTGAAGCCTTTGAAGTCATTCAGCTCTAATTCCATGGGTCAGCATATCTAAATGCAGCCACCCACCCACCACTGCTTCCCCCAATTAAGTGCCTGGAGGCAGCACACTCTACAAGCGAGCCTCCTGTTCACAGGTATTCACTTTCATTGACTTAGTGGACCTGGGAGTGTCATGCTATTTCTCTTGTTCTGCTTCTGCCTCTTCTTTGTTGTACTTCTGGTGTCACAGTGTGGATGGACTAGGTTCAGCACATAGGACTCTTTGGATCCAAAGGAGGTACTCCATTCCCGACTCTTCTCTCTTGGTGGTAGTAAGATGTCCACGATGTTGCTTCTGAGATGGCCCATTCTATATCCAGGAAGATGGCAAAGTTGACTAATTCCCAGGTTAGGAGCCCAAATCGTTACAGCCAAATTAACCTTGGTAAGATGTGCTCACAACTAAATCATAGAATCCTCTATGCATCTTCTCTAACCTTCTCGTACACAGGCCCACCAGAAGAGAAGAAAATTACCCGCTCTCGTGGTCTCACTCAGTTATCTGGTGGGCATTGTGTAGACTCTAGCTAAAAGAGCCATATAAAGTAAATCCTTGCACCACACCGATCAACACTCCATCTAATTATTAATTGTTATTATTATTGCAACTGCTGATCATTCATTTTGCAAAGAATTGTTTCATTGGGAAAAAATAAGACTCTGGTGAATAATCTGTACTGTTTTGATGGGTTAACAGATAAACAAATACACCTTTAACAGGAATACATTTGGAGAAATTACAGTAGAGAAGTTTCAGCACCTAAATGATTTTCCTAGTCATTGGGCTTTGGAATAGCTTCATTTATAATGTAAATGGCCCTCAAGCATGACTACACTGCCCTTTCAGTTGATTAAACAATAGCTTACCTTGAAGTTAAAGGAGCTTCTAGTTGTCATTTTCAAGACACTAAGTGGATCTAACAATAACATGGAAGTAAGTTGATTAATCATAGTCTTGTCAAGTGGAATCGTTTGTAGTCCTTGTTCATTAGTTCAGAGTATTAAAGTAATACAATGGCAAAGCTAGTCTGTAGAAGGCCTGAGATGATTATTTCTGTCTTTGGTAATTCTGGAAGATTCAATGTGAAATAGGTTTTAGCTGGATTATAGAAAAGTGAGAAATGTTGGAAAATATTTAGTGGTTGATATATATATATATATATATATATATATACACACACACACACACACACACTGTGTTAGACAGGGTTCTCTAGAGAGAGCTAGGCTATGTCAGCACAGCAGCCAATCACAAGGCAGGTCACCAATCGCCAGTCCCCAGCTCCTGGGAAGTCTTAAAGGGACCTCAACTTACAGCAACACAGTCCACAGGCTAGGCATCCCACAGGCAGTGTAGCCTTTAAATTGAGGCACAGAACAAGCAAGGCAGCCGCACACTGGTCCGATGATCACAGAGCGAGAGACAAGAAAGGCGAGGCTCAACAAGCCATTTATCTCTCCACCCCTCAGTCAATCCCACCTGCGTTTATCAGCCAGGCTGGCACAATAAACTATCTCACACACTAGTATAGATATACACACACACTAATATATATATATATATATATACACACTAATATATATATACACACTAATACACACACATACATTATTCCTTTTGATGAGAAACGGCATTTCTACCGGGCACCCTTACTTAAACCTTGTCTTTGCTTTGCAGCTGTGCCTAGGAAGACGGAAGAGAAAACAATGAAGACAGTGGAGCAAGGTAAAAAAAAATGAAGGAGGTTGACATTATCTGCTTTAGAAAGACAACAACACGAGGAGGAAAGCAGTGGCTTCAGACTGGCGGAAGACCATAACCTTTAAACATCTTGCTCTATATCACTGTCATTGTGTGTTCTCCTGTGCCAGAGAGAATGAGGCAGCAAGCTAGGTCTGCCTTTCTTTTTTGTATAACTAAACCTTTGAGCCTAAACTCAGAACAGGAATCACAGACTGCTTAATTGCCTCAGGAGAAATGCTGAAGATTATTGAGAATAGGGAAATGATCCTGGGACACTGGTAGACAGATTTTGTCTCATTTATGGTTTTTACACCACCCAACTGATCCTATAAACCAATCATATTTGCATAAAATAATTTCTATTACTTGAAAATGATATGTAAAAGGTTAAAACAGAAGGCACAAAATGACAAAAGAAAGAGATTCGGGTTGATATGGTAATTTCACTTACTTATTCTCACAAGGAAGTTGGTGTATCAACATGAACAATCATAATGCTACTAATTAATTATATGGTTATGTAGTTTTTCAGTAAATATACCACTCCAACTGCAGTACTTGAGACAAACCCTAAAGTACACAAAACTTGAAATGTTAGAAGTTATGCTGGAACTCAAAAAGTGCTAGTAATTTAAATGTCCTCCCCTATCTGCTTTCATTGATTATGGACTTTGAAATATTAGAACCAGCCATCATTTTTTCTAACAATAAACTCAAAATAACTTTTCCTCTTCAATGTGAGGGTCCATTAAATTCCCAACATCACAAATTTAGCATCTATGTTATAAATATATATTTAAAATACTACCATCTCCTACATTTTTAGCTAAGTAAAAGAAGCTTATGGATTCGGTTAACTAAAGAGGTGGTTAAGGGTTCTCAGTCCCCCTGAGTTTTTCAAAATGGCGTCAGACCCTAATCGTGTGTAGAAGCTTACCAGCTGATTTCGGCTTCAGTGCATTTCCCGGATTCTGAGTATTTAATGAAATGTTTTCATCAAGTCCTTTATAATAAAAACCTGGCTATCATGTAGACTTTGAAATATACAAGATAGAGGGAGGAGGAGGAGATTTGAATTTCAGCTTCTTCATTTAAGTCACGCTCTGAGCCTTTCCTTTTTCAACAAGTGGAGTTAGTTCTGCATCCCTTGCTTGGTGGAGAAGATGTGGAGCTCAATAAAAACACATACGTGAAAGATTTGAAAAGTAATCAATTTCTGAAAACCCAGATGATATGACTTAGGAATTCTTCCTGATAAAATCAGCTCCACTTCAGGTGAAATAACCCACAAAACCACTTGGATTTCGCTGAGCTCCGTAGTGTCCCCCTCCCAGTACATAGGTGATGGCAGCACTCTAGATTGCTGATCTAGCTATAGCATATCAAGAGAAGATCACCTAGAACATAAATGTATCTAACAGGTAAATTGATTTATATAAATATAGACTTTTTTCCTTGCTTGCATGGTCATGTAAGTTTCATAAATTATATGATATTTCTTTAAGTTGACAGGATGTTGACAACATCTTAGGAGATGTTCACTTCCTCAGGTGATTTAAAAAATAAATGAATGTTATATTATGGAAACTTAGGTTCTGACATTTAATAAAAATTAAGAAATTACTTCAATGGATCTTTGTGTACGTACAGAGTAAATCCTTTTATCTTTAAAGTTTCTAAAGAATGGATTCATGTTCTTCAAATACAAAAATCAGAGGAAGTAGGCTGTTCAGATACCTTGTACTTTTGTGTAATAGTATACCTATGAGTAACCTGAAAATAATTTTATCAGCAATAATTTATGTTAAAAATAAGTATTTTATGATTTTAATGAAGTAGGGAGTCTATGTCAGAATAAATAATAAGCAATAACATTTTACAGATGTTATCATAGCATTTTAATATTTATTCAGAAGATGATGGTTTCAGAATATTGTATGCTTTTTCATTATGTAGTTGTTAGTTATCTTCAAAAGTATGTGTGATCTATAGTTCATAATGCATTGAATACAGTTACATAGTAGTAAGGAGTTGCTTATTTAAGTTTAATATTAGGTGAGCATCTGGGCTGGAAAATATTTTATGTTTCATAATTTAAAACATCAAGTAGATGTTGTGAGCTAGGGTACTCATGTATATTTGACCCCTGGATTTAGTCTCCATTATAATTGTACTTGGAAACATTGTTTAAAGTAAACTTTATGTTAGGAGAGGTTCATATAGGGAAAGGTGGAATGAATTCTATATTAACATAATTTAGTAAACTGCACTTCATATCATGCAAAAAGTAGAAATTTAGTTCATATAACTACCATGAAAGCTTTTAAATGGCATTGTAGTTTATTTCTAGTTTATAATGATGAATCGTGTTTTCTTCTATTATCCTCCTCTTATGGATAGCAAATTAGCTACAGGTTAATTTTGAGTCCTAGGAAACATTATGAACTCTTTCCCATTAAAGGCACACAGACACGCACAAACACACATAATAAGCTGTTTGCCTTTGTTTAGAGAGCAAATAGCTGGTCATGTTGGAAGAGAAGGACCTCTGAGGGCTCAGTGGTTAAGCAGTCCACTGATAACCAAGAGATCAGTGGTTCAAACCTACCGGCAACTCCGTGGAAGCAAAGAAGTGATGGTAGGCTCCCATGAAGCCTGCAGCCTAGGATACCCGAGGGGACAGAGCGAGTCAAATACATGGTCACTGTGAGTCAAAATGACCACTTCAATGCTAGGGCAAACAACATCAGGAGATAGGTGCACAGGTCTCTTCAGTGAATACTTAATACATATTGCTATCTTTCTAGTGTTAAGCAAAAGGTGTCAGGGTTTTTAAAAAAAACACACACAAGTGCTACCCTATGAGGATTAACTAGGTTATAGTTTTATATTTTATTTGAAGATGAGGGGCTGCCTTTCATTATGTTTATCACTTAACTCATTTGCTAATATTTAAATTGCCATGTTTAATTACAGCAGTAGATTTTCCTCTTTAGAATCCTTTTCAAATGTGGCGTGCTCTCCTAATCCCAATGTCCCTTTCTTTCTCCCCAAGTAGAGCAATCTTTAATATGGTGGGCTTGGTACTAGGGGGACAACACATTCACACAGAGAAACATTAAAAGCTTGTCACTCATAGAGCAGGGAAGAAGATTTACCTCTGAAGATATATGTTCTAGTTACAAGTATTTGTAGTTATCTGTTTTTAATGGAGTGCAATTCCATCAAAGGTAAGGGAATAGTTTTGTGTTAAATCATTTACAAATCATCCTTCCTTTTCCTTCTCTTTTAACACCTGTTCATCACTTGAGGCTTTCTATAACCCTTAGACCCTTCTCTAAGAGTCTAATAATGTCTGTCATGTAGTACACATATAAATATTGAAATGAATAAAACCTGGAGGACATAGTGAGAAGAAAATTTAGTGAGCGGTGCCTTTCAATCTAGATCACCATTGGAAAATTAGATTTCAATTAGTAAAATGTATCCAAGATTTTGGAAGTCAGAACACAAGTGAATAATAATTTCTCTGCCATCATGTTAAAGTGGAGATACTAAAGAGAAAATTTTAATTAAATATGTATAATTTACTAACTATATCTTTATTATGAAACAATTATAATTATGGTATAATTAAAAATATGGGTCAATATTGACTTGATAGCAGTGAGTTTGGGTTTTTTATTTTTTGCATGGTGACCTAAGTAGACATCATGTGGACAAAGTTACTAAAAACTAAACTGTAGCAACTCTAGTACATTGTAACTGGGAGAAAGGCAAAACACTCTATTCCCGTAAAATTAGTCTTGGAAACCCAGAGCAGCAGCTCTGCCCAGCCCTGTAGGTTGCTATGAGTCAGAATCGACTCAAGGGTAGTGAGTTTGGTTTTGAGTTTTGGTGTTACAGTGTGAGTTTTAAAAAATGCAAAAAAGAGTTAGACAGCTACCTAATTATACCAATGTTGTGCTTATATTTAGAAAAGTTAGGATTTTCCTGGGTTCCCTTATACTTAAAATTAGGGTGCTGAATTATATGGCTTATTGGGAACACTATGTTACATCCAAATATAAGATTTTCTATTCAATAATTTTGCATGTTCCTTATTTGGCATATATAGTATTGTGGGTTTTTTCTTCCTAGAGAAAGGCTCTTCTAGGAGTTTCAGTTCTAAATATTATGATCCAAATGCTAAGAAAACCATACATTAAAATGTGAATATGGATACTTCAGTATTCCAAATATCAGCTAAAAGTTTTATTCAGAAATATTAAAGCTAGTGGATCACCCTCCAATCAACTAAAAATTACTTCAAAATACAATTAAGTACTCTTCTTTAGATTGAATGAAACTTACTATCATTGTTCACTGTAGATGTCCAAAGGTGGTCACAATATGGTGACAAAAAAATCTCTATGGAAAAGACGAATATAACGGAAGGGTCCAGTAAATATCATCATAAATGTGAACACAACTACCATTCATTTTGCTAATAGTAAAGTGGAAGTAAAGCGATCATAAATGTACCAATTTAGTTCATCTAATGTATTACCAAAATTCCATTTCCCTGAAGTTAAGGAAGGGCTTTAAACTCATAAACCAGCTAATTTGTGTCCCCCTGTAGATTTTCTTCTGCCTTGCTTTGCCTCTGAGGCTATAACCTGTATGCTGTAACCAATCATATCCTACATCATTGTATTAATGTTTTAAGTGGTCAAAAAAGCCAGTGAAACACAAATGTTATTAATATTTTCTATATTTGTCACTGTCCCCACCACTTTACCAGATTCTTCTTTTTTATTTTCATGAATTGGTTTGTTTCAATTTTATGATGTGTACTGCTCATAGATTTATCAAGTGAATGTTAACAGTGTTTAAGAGTGATGATTTCCCTGAGAGAAACTTATCTATTAGAAAAATGAATGTTTATTTCTTAGTGTGTCAACTATTTCATTTTAAAATCAATAGAGTCAACCTGTAAGTTT